AAACACGGTCGGATGGCGAAACGAGTGCAATTGTGTCGGAGAGTCCAGCGCAGTAGACAGATACACCCATCGTGGAGCTTGGAGGCACTATGGTATCGTCTTTCACGACAATCTTGCTCACTTTCGAAGAACTGTCTTCCGGCGTCAAATGCGAGAAGGGGGAGAGTTCAATTTCGGCGGCGGCACAATTGATGACGGCGTCGTTGCGGGAGAGAAAATCCCACCCCAGGATGACGTCATGAGAGCATGCGGGAATGATGATGAATTGGGCGACATACAGAACGTCCTGAACGACAACGCGAGCTGTGCACCCTGCTGTAGGATGGATACGATGCAAACCGGCGGTACGAAGGGACAATCCAGAAATTGGCGTCGTCACTTTACGAAGCAAGCGGCAAAATTTTTCGTCCATAACAGATACTGCAGCTCCTGTGTCAATAAGAGCAGATGCTTGAACACCGTCCACAAGCACGTCAATGACATTAGATGGGCGGCTCTGAGGGCTTTCACAATGCGATAGCATCGCAGTCCTTGCCTCGGGGACTGCGACGACTAGTTTTCCCGCTCGTGAGCAGCTGAACTTGGCCGCATGGGGGACGGGGAACGACGTCGTGGAGATGGTGACCTACGAGAAGATGAAGCTAGGCGAGTTGGCGGTGGCATAGACGGCGTTTCCTGGTGATAGGTACGCCTAATCTGGCCAGCAACAGGCGACGAGATATGGGGCGTCTGTACGCGAGTGCAATAACGTGCTACGTGGCCGGCGTAACCGCAGGCAAAGCAAATGGGCCGGTTGTCGGATGTGCGCCATCGGTTCGCCGGGGTAGGTCTTGTCCATGACGCAAGAGCCGATGGACGGAACGGTGGCTGGAAAGGCTGCAGGGGGTGCTGGAGCTGAGTCTGAGAGGTCACGTCAACATACGTAGCCGGCATACCCGCTGCAAAGGATGGAGGTCGTGCGGCAGCTTCGGCGTAAGTCAGTGGGGCGGGCGCTTGAACGACTGGAGGCGGCCTGGCGACCACTTGGGCGTAACTTGGGGGTACAGGAGCCGGAAGCTGTTGTGGGTGGTACGCAGGCATAACCTCCGCTATTTCCTGCTCAATCGCTCGGCGGATGGGGGGGAAAATGGTAGTGGCCGATTGTTGAGCAGCCGGTGGGTGGGCGAAGGGCAGGAGAGAGAACTGCCGTGCGATTTCCTCACGTATGAAGGACTTGAGGTCTGCCAGCAGTGCCACCTGGTCACAGCTCGCCTCCAAGCCTGCAAGCCCTGCATCTCGTGGTGTGGAGCGACGGGTCATCGAACGCTGCCGGCGGAGCTCCTCGTAGCTCTGGCACAGCGTGATGACCTCAGCTACTGTGCCTGGGTTTTTGGCCAGCAGCATCGTGAAGGCATCATCGGCAATGCCCTTCATGACGTTCCGGATCTTGTCTGATTCGGACATGCTGTCGTTGCATTTCTTGCATAGGTCCAAGACGTCTTCAATGTAGCTGGTGAATGATTCACCAGCCTGCTGAGCGCGTTCGCGTAAGCGCTGCTCGGCTTGCAGCTTACGAACGGCAGGGCGGCCAAAAACGTTGGTGATAGCGGTCTTAAAATCGGGCCAGGTTGCGAAATCAGACGCGTGGTTGTTATACCACATGCCGGCCACACCCGCGAGGTAGAAAACCAGGTTGCCGAGTTTACCTGCCTCGTCCCAATGATTGGGGACGCTGACGCGTTCGTACATGACGAGCCAGTCCTCGACGTCGGTGCCATCCGCGCCGGTGAAGACAGGTGGGTCGCGGATGCGGGGGACACCGGAACATGGCGTCGGCGCAGGAGGAAGCGTTTGCTGGGCGGCGTCTTGTTGCATGGTTGAAGGCACGGTACGGGATCTAAGCTCCAAGGGCATCGAATGTGAACCGAAGATGTTTGAAGGGCACAGCACTCTCCACCAAAATGTTAAGGCGTTTAATAGCCGGTCCACAGCGAGCAAGAACAATGGCGACAGTAACGGCCAAGCACGGGCTCTCAGTGCGAGCGGCGTCCTTGTTGGGTAGCCCCACTAGAAGGTACTCAAGAGTTCGACCCATTTCATAGTTCGGAGGCTTCGCTACAATATATATATTGTTAGGAATTTGGCTCTGTCGCGATGGTAGCGGTGGCGAAGAGCGGCGAGCCGTCGAGCGGACTTCACCGAAGCATTTGCCCGAAGGTGAAACAGGGAGGCAATCCGTTTGGAAAACAGCAACAAAAGGAGCGTTTACTGTAGCAGGTTGTCGTTTTTACAGAGCCGGCCAGCACGACAACGTCGGCTGGGGCAAAATCTTCTAACATGGGGCCGGCTCGGCCTTAAATAGCGTCTTTGGTCCATTCTCTCAGACCAGTTCTCGGGCTCGGAGGGGGAGACGTAGCCATACCCGGAACTGCAAAGTGGTCCGGCGGAGGAAGCGCCTTTATCCCCGGAACTGCACGGTTCTTCTGCACGGAAGGCGGCGCTGGGAGGGGGGGGGGAGACAGTTCGTCGAAACAGGGCTCGATCTTGTGAGACGTGCTCCCGAACGAGGAACATGTCTGTGGCACAACAATATATATATATATATATATATATATATATATATATATATATATGTGTGTGTGTGTGGGTGTGTGTGTGTGTGTGTGTGTGTGTGTGTGTGTGTGTGTGTGTGTGTGTGTGTGTGTGTGTGTGTGTGTGTGTGTGTGTGTGTGTGTGTGTGTGTGTGTGTGTGTGTGTGTGTGTGTGTGTGTGTGTGTGTGTGTGTGTGTGTGTGTGTGTGTGTGTGTGTGTGTGTGTGTGTGTGTGTGTGTGTGTGTGTTGTGTGTGTGTGTGTGTGTGTGTGTGTGTGTGTGTGTGTGTGTGTGTGTGTGTGTGTGTGTGTGTGTGTGTGTGTGTGTGTGTGTGTATTCCTTTGAAGTTATCGCCTTAACTATGAGGCGAACTGCGGGTGGAGGGAGCTCTGTAAATTTTAGCCATATATGTATCTCCCTGTAAACGGGCTTCTAGCACTACACCTCCGTCGAAATAAGCTCCCGCTGCTGCTGGGATGGAACCCGTGATTTCAGGGTCAGCAGCCGACACCTCTCAGATGTTAGCACGCGCGTGTACTCCGCCTCGTATGAGCTGAATTAACCTCGGGGAACGAATAGGGACGTACTAGACAGACAGACACCGATGGGACAACACTATGACCGTCCGTCGCGGATCTGTTCAATTCCGCAGCGACCCAGTTTGACATCAAGCAGTGACTCACCCATACCTCTCGCGTGCTATACGCAATCGGTTATTTTTCGCGCTGTCAAAGAATGCGTCCTGCAATGCCTTGTACTATGTAGTACTTCCAGGAATTCGCGCTGTACAGGTTCCTATCGGGCATCGCCCTGTCTTTATTTTTTTTCTTCTTTGAACACATGCATGTTTTCGCGATGCTATGGTGCGCAACGCCCATGAAGGCACTGAACTTTAGTAAGTGTTGTGTACTCTGTTGAATTCAACTGGTTGTTTTCTTTCGAAAAATGATACGTTCTTTCGCCACCGAGCACGAGGTGGCATACGTTTTTATTTCAACCGTGGTGTCTGATATGATATGACTGGCAGCAATAGTGAATAGTAGTATACAATTCATGACAGTCCTGCTCAATGTATAGAATAATAAAGGCACGAAAATCATAAAAATAACAATGATTGGAAAGCTCCAACGACCTTGGCGACATTCACAGTACACACCTTATATATCAGATATGCCCTCACTGTCGTCATTTGTAAGATGAAAGTAACGGGGAATGCTGGACATTCTGCCCTCTCACGCGCTCTTTTACTGCGAGTGTTTGCATGAAGTTGATAGAACTCTTTCGTGATTATATGGTGATGTACTTACATTCAGCTTATATTTAGTGTTGTTTTCTTTCAACCTCACTGCTGTCCCATTATTTACGAATCAATATGTAGGCTTAGTAAGGAAACAGTTTTTAACCTGTTTCATTTTGCTTCAACTGGGAACTGGGTAGCATTTTACAGTGTTATGTAGACATGCCAGAACGACTATTATTATTATTATTATTATTATTGTTATTATTATTATTATTATTATTATTATTATTATTATTATTATTATTATTATTATTATTATTATTATTATTATTATTATTATTATTATTATTATTTCATGTGCTATATACCTAATTGCGTCACGGGTTTTGGTTTATTATATACTAAACTTTGTTATCCACAAAAACGACACCGCTATCTCACGTGAGATGACAGCGGATGTTCAGACCTTAAGTATGGTCTACAGTAATTTTACAAAGACCGACCGATCTCTTCAAAATACTCTTTCACTACGGCGGCGCCACAATCTAAGGACGCGCAAAAATGGCAATTCCACCGTTTTCAGATCACGGAAAACTTTTTTTCGTGTGCTGGTGCCGCTACACCCTGATAATGTTGACCTTATGTTTCATAACGTGCAAACACTTACGCCGTGGACATCGTGTGTCAGAGGAGTTAACCCACTTGTGACTTCACTGTGGGCCAGGCACACAAAATATGCAGGATGTTATGTTTTTCCGGCGTTCTTTCCACGCAGGATGTGAGCCGGACACAAAGAAAAAGAAAGGCGGGGAGGTTAAGCAGGTTGTGTGCAGTTTGCTACGCTTACAAGGGAAGACTAGGAAGAGTACAAGAATAGGGAAGTAAGAAGGAAGAAAGAAAATACATCAGCGTTCTCCGCGCACGCCTAAATGGTCAGAACCAAGAAATATTTGAGATCGCGGTTCCTTAGCGGTTGTCAAAAGTGGACTGGAATCCGAGCGCTTAAAAAGGCTTGCAAAGACTGGCTCCAGGGACTACAGGACTTGCAGTGCACACTGATAGAGTTGTCATTCTGGTGAAGGGGATGCGGTACACAACCAAAACTTGTATATGTTTTCTAACGAAACCGGGCCATCCATCATATAGCAACGACGAATGCTCCACCAACTCTTTCTCTTCCTTCGTCGCAGATGTGGAGATGAGCCATGGGCAGGCGAGTGGTGCCGACTACGACTACCTCATCAAGTTCCTGGCGCTGGGCGACTCCGGCGTGGGGAAGACCAGCTTCCTCTACCAGTACACCAACTCGACATTCAACAGCAAGTTCATCTCCACCGTGGGCATCGACTTCCGAGAGAAGAGAATCGTACGTGTTTCGCTTCGTAGCTACATTGGGGCACTCCGGTACGTCTTCATGAGACTGCATAGATCAAATATAGTTGCCGAAAAGTGTATTAAACACTCGCTTCGTATCCTATAGAGCGTTCTCTCTCTCTCACCTTCCTTCATTCGTTTCTATTGTTACAAAAACTAAAAAATGAAAGCATGTTTGTGCTAAACTGAACGCAGCAGCGAAGACCACGTCCTAGCTACGACTTAGATACCACTCGGTTTAGGGTTCTGGCTGCGCGATAAGATATACGTGACGCCAGCGCAAGCCCTCTTGCTGTGCGCGTACTGCAGAAACCCGCCCGTTGCCTTCTTCATTATTCACCGGAACAGCAACGGAAGGGGAGCAAAAATTCGGTCAAAAATAGGAATTGTTTTATTCATAAAGTCGACGGTGCAGCCATCCATAAAAAATATTTCTGACGTTATTCGTTTGCGAAAGCGTTTGTTTCCGTTCGTTTTCTCGAAGTGGGATGTTCGCCAGTGGCGGTGCCAGGAGTGGCCGGCTACGGCCGTCCGTTGACGCGTCTGTTGTGTGTCTGGAGGCCTGTCGGAAAAGATGCGGGTGCAGGGGTGTTCAAACCACTGCATTGTTCTTTCTTTCTGTTTTTTCTTCTTTTTTAATAATAAACACGCTTGTCGCATGAATTTTTCGCTGCATACAGAAATTCATGGAAGATGAAGGCCTGAAGTCAGTGTTGACAAATCATTGAGTAGGTAATGTGGCTAGAAAGCCAATGTTTTACGCACAGTGCTGAAGACAAGTGTCTCTGTCTATCTATCTATCTATCTATCTATCTATCTATCTATCTATCTATCTATCTATCTATCTATCTATCTATCTGTCTATCTATCTATCTATCTATCTATCTATCTATCACACACACACACATGCGCGCCTGTGTGGATGCTAAAAAGCAGGATTTGAGCCGGACACAAGCCTTTAGCATCCGCAGGGGACGCACGACCTAAATTTCTTCAACTATTACCCTGTATAGATTCGACGTGTCTATGTATTTTCTTGCTCGCGTACCTTCTTTACTTCTACGCGCAGTAATGAATACGTAAGCGCGTCCATCTACTATTAAAAGCCTTCCGCTAGAAGTACACCGCATCTTGAGGCATCCTCTTTCGCACAGCAATATATCGAGGCAAACGAAAGTGCAGAACTCTATATGACACAAAGCCAGAGAGCCCCGCGATGGGTGCCCCGTTTATATATATGGAGCGCACATAGTGTAAACACGTATTCCAAGAAGCCGCCGCTCGTCCTTTTATTTAGGTCCCCTGTCCGATACACCGAAGTATTATACCGTGCCCATATTCATGCGTAATTGACAGCGTCAACAGCCGTGCGGGCGTTTCTACGTTCGGCGCTCTTCGCTAGGAGCGAGGCGCAATCGGCTTAACCTTTCAGACCGCGACGGAGAGATGAAATGTGTAGCTGATTAGAATTGCATGCCAAGGTGAGGACCTTCTTTATTTCTTTTTGACATATCAGGGTAATGCGAGAGGGCCTTGCATAATTGGTTTAAGAAAAAATCGCAGCTCCGCTTAGCGACCGGTTATGAAATTTTCCACCAGAAGAGGTAGAACAGTAAGATTGAAGAAACGAAAGAGAAAGAATACGTGACAAGCACTTAAGACTGTTATATAAAGCAGAGAAGCCCTTTATTTTAATCTACACGTGAATTCTTCTTTCTCGGTGCTATATGTCTGGAAGGGCTTTGAGGGCCCGTGCCCATGGGTCGAAAATAATTCTTGTATCCGAGTGTCTAGTCTAATTTCAAGTACCAGTGCAAACTGGCGATTCCTTTTTTTTTTGTCGGCACCGGAAGTTTTCAAACGTGTTACCTGATATTGCGACAAAAGTCTTAGATTTTTGTAGAAGTTCAGCGACGACCATGCCTTCATATACAGGCAATACAGAAATGCGACAACGAAGAATGACGAGTCGGTTCGATAAAACATCATATAACCACATCGTAAACAGCTGATCGCTGACAGGCCCGCGATATCGGAAAACGGTGCGTATAAATTCGCATGTGGGCGGTGCTGCACCTTTAAAGGCCACACTTGTATGCGCTCACCGGCGCCGCGTTTGTCGCGTACGGCGCCGCCACCGATACCCGGAAGCGTGTTTGAAAAAACGCAATAATCGCATTCTGCGCCGCACTCCAAATATCTCGTGGCAAACATCTTGCTAAAAGCGTGCAGAACTGCCGAACCGAAACAGAGGGCTTGAGAATGTGTGCACCTGCTAGACGCCCAGCTATATACTGTCGCAATCGGATGAACTCGCGCTCAAAGCACATTAGCCGTCAGTGTGCTATATTTTGCACCGTCGAAATTCGATTGGGCGATCTTTCTGGGAAGTGCGCGAATAATCAGCGTGCGTGCACGCACAAGCCGTCGCACCGTTATTTGCTGCACTCTTGCACATCGTCATGTGCACACGAACCTGGACTCTTATACATGCAACCCTGCAGCGCTCTATACAGTGTAGAACATGATTCAGCGTGTCCTGGGCTCTAGATCACGCCGAGATGCTCGGTACTATTGTCCATGATCAGCTTGTTTGGAAGTTCTTTATTTAGGCAGCTTTAGAATAGCGTACGCTAAATTAGTGTTTTTTTAATTTATTTCAGACGCGGATTGGGTCTTGGATAGCAAGACTAAAAGGCAAGACATTGTCTGCCTGACTAAGGCCTTGTCAACCACGCATTACTCTAGACAGCACAGAATACGAGGGCATACATAAAGTTTCTGCAAAAAAGTTGCAAACATAAAATTGTTACATGTAAATGAAAAAAAAACTAAAGAATAAGAAAGAAATTTGCAAGAACTAAGAATTTAGTATACAACAATTCAATTTGTAATAACAAAAAAGTTCGCACGCACAATGTGGCACTACCAATATGACCATCTCGATAAATAAATATGCATGCACCACCGAACCATGACGATATGTTCAGCAGAGTAGACCTAGAAATGAATGCAGTCAGTATTCAGTCAGCAATAAGCAATGAATTCGGTCAGATTTTAAAGGCAGTAGAAAAATCTCTTTTGCAAGAACAGCGAAATGGTTTAGTTATATAACTGTAGGTACAAAACTACACCCGACAGACAGGTTGGCATACTAATAATAATTCGGGTTTTATGTCTCAAAATCACCATCTGGTTATGAGGGACGCCGTGAAGGCTAATTGACAACGACTAATTTTAATTAGAATGACAAATTATTCAAAAGCGACCAATTTTGAGCATGAAACAAGAATACGTATCCTAAACTAAAATAGTGAGAAAAAAATACGTAGCGATGTGCACGGGACAAAAAATTTATTATGTAAAAGTGTAACGTAGAGTGGATGTACATTGGGATATTCATTATTTTTAGAAAAGAACACTACAAAGAATTGTTTTTGAACTTGCAGTGAGAGGTGAGTAGGGCCGGACAGAAAAACATGTTCAACTACACAACAGCATTAAAAGAGAGAAAAATCTTTATTGAAAAGCAGAGGACTTAGCGTAAGCAAATCGCTATTTCGCTACACAACAGCATTAATGGCTAATGGTGACTGGAGTTGGGTAGCTATTATTTGTTGACTGCTTGCTAATCAAGCTTAACTCATATATACCCAGTGTCCTACTTGTAGGACGCTGAAACTTTCCAGTGTAGCTCGAATGTTTTTTTGTTTTTTGTTTTTTGTAAAAAAAAAGGTAGCACCACCTGAGGTGCGTTTATGATGCCCTTTCCTCGTCACATGCAAGTCTAGGTGATCGTTTGCAATCACAAAATGGCTATTTATCGTGCGTGGAGCCGAGCGCCTTACCGCGAAATATATATATAATTAATATAGAGTCGAATTGTTCTCGATGTTGCTAATATTTTTGTCGGTTGTTCGTCAGTTATTGGGTGTGCAATAACTTTCGTGAGTCAGTGATAGGCGCTAATGTTTTTTTGTTTTTGTTTTTTGTACACGGTTTGTCAAACATGGGTGTCTTACATATAGGACGGCTCCAAAACCATTGTTTGAAAGAGCTGCTTTTAACAAAAGCCTTATTCTGTTTTCTGAGGTCGTAGAAGCAGTCATTTCGGGGAAATAAATTAGTTTTGTTCATTTTCCTAAGTTCGGGTATACATGGGCTAATGAACATTACTGTGGGTTTAATTCAGTTAATGTTAGTTATCTGTTTTTTGTAACAATGTTTTGTCACCCAGCGATATTCCACCTGTACATCGGCGTCTAGGCCGGGTGCACTCTTGTACGGGGAGGTGACTATCGATTGCTTCCCGACGCAGCGCGAAGAATTTCTCTCCGTGGTGCGCGTGATCTCCGGCACGCCGCCATCATCGTCCCGCAATTGAGAATTGTTGCGCGCGACCGTACGCGAACCTGCCCAGAGGGACTTGCGAATCGTGCCAGAGCGTCTCCCCTGTATATCATTCTTATGCAAGCGCTGGGCGATATCTTCTAAGCACAACGCCGCTCAGTTTACGTCGTTCATTGTAGATTACTTGGCACTCTTGAAACGTTCATTGTTCACATTGTGGTTGAGGGCCCTTTCTTCTATACTGGCCGCGTTGTGTTTTCGACATCGCAAACGACCCATGTTTTCCGAGCAAGCAAACAAACAAATAAACACACACACACAGGATCTTGTGCATTCATTTAAGACAACTCGAGGGTGAAGGTCCTCTTTTTCTCCTTCTTCTTCTCGGCAGATGTGCATAAGGCAGTCTTTACTTTATTTTCTTTGTGTCGCGTGCTCTTCGATTTTGTTCGCCTCCAAAAGGACAAGGCTACAACGGCATAGTGTCGTTACGTCACATGACGTAATGGCGGCGTCACAAAATATTAGCTATCTGTTACGTGGTGACGACGTCTTGTGGTAACATAATCACGCGATGGTGTCTTTTTTGCATCACTCGTCTCCAACGCCGCGGGACGGTCGCCGCCGACGGTCAAGTTTCCCGTTTGATGAACCGGTATCTGAGGCTTTCGCCTTTCAAAATTCATCAGCCATATTTTACTGTTTCAAGGTGGATGACCAGCGTAACTGTGTAGCACGTGGTTTCATTCATTTATTTAATCAATTTGTTTGTTTGTTTGTTTGTTTGTTTGTTTGTTTTACTTTTTCTCTTTGTTTTGAGTGGAGCAGCGGTGAGTAATGAAGTTCACCCAATTTCTGTGGCTCATATATCCCCTAGGCGTTTTCTGTTGAATAGGTAATGGTTTAAGTGACGAGAATCAAGGTCAAGCAAGCAAGTAACTGTTTGCAGAATTACGAATGGCCTGTCTACACGTAGCTTTGCTGTAAAGATAAAATACGCATTTCTCCAGCAGTTAAATACAAATGCCATCGCTTACAATATGTGCCCCAACAGCGTGTGCGTTGCCGAATGGTGATCCCATGATGTACGGATATTGCAACAAACGAAAATTCGGACGTCTATTTGTATATATATATATATATATATATATATATATATATATATATATATATATATATATATATATATATATATAAGGGAAAGAAGTGTATACCTAAGGGCTCGTTTTCCGTGTTTTTAACACAATAATAATGAGATATAACAGACAATAATGCCAAGGAATGTACAGGGGAAGTTATTAACATTAATGGAATGTAATGGAATGTAAATAAGAAGAAAGAAAAGTGGATGAAAAAATTACCAACTGTAAGCAGGAATCGAACCTACGACCTTCGAATTACGCGTTCGATGCTCGAACGCGAGCATCGAACGCGTAATTCGAAGGTCGTAGGTTCGATTCCTGCTTACAGTTGGTAATTTTTTCATCCACTTTTCTTTCTTCTTATTTACATTCCATTAATGTTAATAACTTCCCCTGTACATTCCTTGGCATTATTGTCTGTTATATCTCATTATATATATATATATATATATATTGCATTATGCAAAAGTGAACTGTTCCGTTCAAACCAATGACGGTGTTATTGACGCAGGACTGTGAAGCTGACCGGTATTAAGAGCACAACCTTTTGGCATGTGCACTCTTAAAGTACCAGTATTCCACCTATTCTGAAGCACTATAGTGTAAAGCACCGGTTTAAAAAAATGCGAAGTCATGCTATACCAGAAAGTACATTGTCGTTCCGGTTAACTATAGTTTGCGCACTTAATTTTTTATGTCCCTCGAAATCACATTGACATCGGGCTGAATTCGTCGCGTTCCTTCACAGCCTACAGCGTCATACCGCGTGATACGGCTATAGGACAAACGATACTCGCTGTCGCAATTAGGTGGCGGGTCGTCCTCAGCTTTCGTATACCTTGCACCTCGCAGACGTACCGTTCGCCCGAGGGTGGCGGCCGCAGCCAGCGCATCTACCTGCAGCTGTGGGACACGGCCGGCCAGGAGAAGTTCCGCAGCCTGACCACGGCCTTCTTTCGGGATGCCATGGGCTTCCTCGTGCTCTTCGACCTCACTAGCGAACAGTCCTTTCTCAGGTATGCATGGAGGCGTATGGACCACGCGTCCAGTCTATATCCTGCCATCATGGGCTTCGGCAGGGGGGTGCAAAAGGGGCAGTTCCCCTCAAGCCTCGCCAACTTGCGTGAGGGTACGTACCCTCACGCAAGCTACGCAAGTGCTCTCCGCTTCCCCCAGCCGCGATGTGACATGGGTTTTCACCCCTCACGACAACGTCCTGTCGATGCTCGTGCCTGCCATGCCACGTTCGGAGGGTGGACAAAACGTCTTGCTCTGAATGGCGAGAGATCTTAACCTTTCCAGGAATCCGGCATCGGTTGACATGCTGACTATATTTGGGCAGTCCGAGCATGTCAATCTGAGCGGTACGAATTCAAGGACATACCCGTGCACCCTCGTGAGCTTGTGAGATTAGCGCACTTCGGAGTTAGTAGCGGTTTGGCGAGAGTTATTCGGTACGTGCCTGGTACCCCTACAATAGAAAGCCTGCCATGGCGGTCTTGTGGTTATAGTGCTAGACTGCTAATCCGCAGGTCGTGGGATCGAATGCCTGCCGTGGCGGCCGCATTTTCGAAGTTTGCCAAATTGCTCGAGGCCCACGTTAAAAAGCCTCTCCCCTGGTGGTCGAAATTGCCGTAGCCGTCCACTGTGGCTTCTCTCATTATTATATCCCAGTTTGAGACATTATGCCCTAGATATTATCATTATTACCACAACTAGAATATTTCCACTAACCACACCTATCCCGATATCCTCGTCAGTGACCTCCTTTTTCCCTGTTGTGAAATAATCTCATCTTTCTCGCGTAGCATCCGTTCGTGGCTCGAGCAGCTGCGCACTCACGCGTACTGCGAGAACCCGGACGTGGTTCTGTGCGGCAACAAGGCGGACTTGGAAGAAGGACGCGCCGTGACCGAGGAGCGAGCGAGGGCCGAGGCCGCCAAGCACGGCTTCCCGTACTTCGAGACGAGCGCCGCCACGGGACACAACGTGGGGCGCGCCGTGGACGCGCTGCTGGAGCTCGTCATGCGACGAATCCAGCAGACCGTCGACCGCGGAGGGCAGGCGCTGCCGCACCACACGGGCCCGCGCTCCCCGCTCAGCGACGGAGACCCCCTGCGAAGGGCCCCCGGAGAAGACCCGCTGCCGCCGACCCACAACGGCTGCACCTGCTAGTGTTAGGCTGCATGGTCAGTATTCGAAGCCATTGCTATACTGCATCTGTGGCAAAGTAACTGGTACTTTGGCACCATGGTTGTTGTTGGAGGGCAAGCGCTATAGTGAACACTGGCTAAAGGAAGGAACACGGACACACAGAAGGAAGCACTTCCACAACGGCTGCACCTGCTAGTGTTAGGCTGCATGGTCAGTACTCGAAGCCATTGCTATACTGTATCTGTGGCAAAGTAACTGGTACTTTGGCATCATGGTTGTTCTTGTGGGGCAAGCGCTATAGTGAACACTGGCTAAAGGAAGGAACACGGACACACAGAAGGAAGCGCTTCCACAACGGCTGCACCTGCTAGTGTTAGGCTGCATGGTCAGTATTCGAAGCCATTGCTATACTGCATCTGTGGCAAAGTAACTGGTACTTTGGCATCATGGTTGTTCTTGGGGGGCAAGCGCTATGGTTGTTCTTGGGGGGCAAGCGCTATTGTGAACAATGGCTAAAGGAAGGAACACGGACACACAGAAGGAAGCACTTAATTTTTATGTCCCTCGAAATCACATTGACATCGGGCTGAATTCGTTGCGTTCCTTCACAGCCTACAGCGTCATACCGCGGGATATGGCTATAGGACAAACGATACTCGCTGTCGCAAGTAAGTGGCAGGTCGTCCTCAGCTTTCGTTGCACCTCGCAGACGTACCGTTCGCCCGAGGGTGGCGGCCGCAGCCAGCGCATCTACCTGCAGCTGTGGGACACGGCCGGCCAGGAGAAGTTCCGCAGCCTGACCACGGCCTTCTTTCGGGATGCCATGGGCTTCCTCGTGCTCTTCGACCTCACTAGCGAACAGTCCTTTCTCAGGTATGCATGGGGACGTATGGACCACGCGTCCAGTCTATATCCTGCCATCATGGGCTTCGGCAGGGAGTTGCAAAAGGGGCAGTTCCCCTCAAGCCTCGCCAGCTTGCGTGAGAGTACGTACCCTGCACGCAAGCTACGCAAGTGCTCTCCCCTTCCCCGAGCCGCGATGCGACATGGGTTTGCACCCCTCAAGACAACGTCCTGTCGATGCTCGTGCCTGCCATGCCACGTTCGGACGGTGTACGAAATGTCATGCTCTGAATGGCGAGAGATCTTAACCTTTCCAGGAATCCGGCATCGGTTGACATGCTGACTATATTTGAGCAGTCCGATCATGTGAATCTTAGCTTTACGAATTCAAGGACATACCTGTGCACCCTCGTGAGCTCGTCAGATTAGCCCACTTCGGAGTTAGTAGCGGTTTGGCGAGAGTTATTTGGTACGTGCCTGGTACCCCTACAATAGAAAGCCTGCCATGGCGGTCTTGTGGTTATAGTGCTAGACTGCCGATCCGCAGGTCGTGGGATCGAATCCCTACCGCGGCGGCCGCATTTTCGAAGTTTGCCGAAATGTTCGAGGCCCACGTTAAAAAGCCTCTCCCCTGGTGGTCGAAATTACCGTAGCCGTCCACTGTGGCTTCTCTCATTATTATATCCCAGTTTGAGACATTATGCCCTAGATATTATCATTATTACCACAACTAGAATATTTCCACTCACCACAACTATCTCGATCTCCTCGTCAGTGACCTCCTTTTTCCCTGTTGTGAAATAATATCATCTCTCTCGCGTAGCATCCGTTCGTGGCTCGAGCAGCTGCGCACGCACGCGTACTGCGAGAACCCGGACGTGGTTCTGTGCGGCAACAAGGCGGACTTGGAAGAAGGACGCGCCGTGACCGAGGAGCGAGCGAGGGCCGAGGCCGCCAAGCACGGCTTCCCGTACTTCGAGACGAGCGCCGCCACGGGACACAACGTGGGGCGCGCCGTGGACGCGCTGCTGGAGCTCGTCATGCGACGAATCCAGCAGACCGTCGACCGCGGAGGGCAGGCGCTGCCGCACCACACGGGCCCGCGCTCCCCGCTCAGCGACGGAGACCCCCTGCGAAGGGCCCCCGGAGAAGACCCGCTGCCGCCGACCCACAACGGCTGCACCTGCTAGTGTTAGGCTGCATGGTCAGTATTCGAAGCCATTGCTATACTGTATCTGTGGCAGAGTAACTGGTACTTTGGCATCATGGTTGTTCTTGGGGGGCAAGCGCTATAGTGAACAATGGCTAAAGGAAGGAACACGGACACACAGAAGGAAGCACTTCCACAATGGCTGCACCTGCTAGTGTTAGGCTGCATGGTCAGTATTCGAAGCCATCTACTGTATCTGTGGCAAAGTAACTGGTACTTTGGCATCATGGTTGTTCTTGAAGGGCAAGCGCTATAGTGAACACTGGCTAAAGGAAGGAACACGGACACACATAAGGAAGCACTTCCACAACGGCTGCACCTGCTAGTGTTAGGCTGCATGGTCAGTACTCGAAGCCATTGCTATACTGTATCTGTGGCAAGGTAACTGGTACTTTGGCATCATGGTTGTTCTTGGAGGGCAAGCGCTATAGTGAACACTGGCTAAACGAAGGAACACGGACACACAGAAGGAAGCACTTCCACAACGGCTGCACCTACTAGTATTAGTCTGCATGGTCAGTACTCGAAGCCATTGCTATACTGCATCTGTGGCAAAGTAACTGGTACTTTTGCATCATGGTTGTTTTTGGAGGGCAAGCGCTGTAGCGAACACTGGCTCAAGGAAGGAACACAGACACACAGACCGTGTGTATGTGTGCCTTCCTTCAATCCGTGTTGACTAGTGCTCCAACCTTCCAAGAATGAATTCCCAATTCGCCCAAGAGACAGCATGCACTCTGTATCGTGAATCGATCTTCGCAGAGCTGTAGCCGAATTCACAAAAGGTTCGAAATCGTCAATTGTTTTGTCATTGGCCAGCCGGTTTCACAATAGATATGCCAGTCTCAAGATTGGTTGAATGATACGTAGGATGTGGATACGATCTTACAAAACATTTCTCGCATAAGAATTCAAGAGGGCTGCTTGTTGGGGCGGCTGTTCTAAACTCCAAGAAGGCCATTAAAACGTCAAAAAAGGAAAACATCTATCGTTAGAGGCCTGCTGTACTGACTTTAACATAACCAGCTTATTTTTAGAGGCGAATCACCTTAAGCCAGCACAATGACCCTTCGTTCATAAACCGCCGCCTGGCGTCTACAGCGGGCATAGAAACTGGAGTTACTCTATCTGCTACCTTTAGGTAGCATATAGAGTAACTCTGATTTTTGTGTCCGCTGTATGTCCGCTCTAGTTTCTATGTCCGCTGTTCCTGTATATGCTACCTAAACGTAGCTTACACAAGAACTCTAATAGAAACTGAAACCTCTGTAAACAACAGAAAGGTTATCAAGAGAACAAACAAAATGAAAAGCTGCAACGGCGGAAAAGCACCGACATTTAAACCCCCATCTCTCAAAGCATATGACAGGACAAAATGCTAACAAGAACAAAACAAAAGGTCACGATTCATTAGCCGATCATCAACATTCACTTCGTGAATATGCATGCTTTCTTTCTTTTTTAATGGCAAGCATTTGTCACCGAGTAGGCAGCTTCCTACAGTCAGCTATAAATTGCTTAAAGTTATACAGATGCTATTGTTATGCTCTCCATATGCATAATATGTCATATTTAGCTTCCAAAGTAACTGGTACTTTTGCATCATGGTTGTTCTTGGAGGGCAAGCGCTGTAGTGAACACTGGCTAAAGGAAGGAACACGGACACACCGAAGGAAGCGCTTCCACAACGGCTGCACCTGCTAGTGTTAGGCTGCATGGTCAGTATTCGAAGCCATTGCTATACTGTATCTGTGGCAAAGTAATTGGTACTTTGGCATCATGGTTGTTCTTGGAGGGCAAGCGCTATAGTGAACACTGGCTAAAGGAAGGAACACGGACACACAGAAGGAAGCACTTCCACAACGGCTGCACCTGCTAGTGTTAGGCTGCATGGTCAGTACTCGAAGCCATTGCTATACTGCATCTGTGGCAAAGTAACTGGTACTTTTGCATCATGTTTGCTCTTGGGGGGCAAGCGCTATAGTGAACACTGGCTAAAGGAAGGAACACGGACACACAGTAGAAAGCGCTTCCACAACGGCTGCACCTGCTAGTGTTAGGCTGCATGGTCAGTATTCGAAGCCATTGCTATACTGCATCTGTGGCAAAGTAACTGGTACTTTTGCATCATGTTTGATCTTGGAGGGCAAGCGCTGTAGTGAACACTGGCTCAAGGAAGGAACACAGACCGTGTGTATGTGTGCCTTCCTTCAATCCGTGCCACTAGTGCTCCACCCTTCCAAGAATGAATTCCCAATTCGCCCAAGAGACAGCAAGCACTCTGTATCGTGAATCGATCTTCGCAGAGCTGTAGCCGAATTCACAAAAGGTTCGAAATCGTCAATTGTTTTGTCATTGGCCAGCCGGCTTCACAATAGATGTGCCAGTCTCAAGATTGGTTGAATGATACGTAGGATATAGATACGATCTTACAAAACATTTCTCGCATAAGAATTCAAGAGGGCTGCTGCTGAACAGGCTGGTTTAAACTCCAAATAAGCCACTAAAACGTCGAAAAAGGAAACCCTCTACATAACCAGCTTATCTTTAGAGGTGAATGAACTTAAGCCAGCACAATGACCCTCCGCCCATAAACGCCCCGCCGCGTGGGTCTAGTGGCTAAGGTACTCGGCTGCTGACCCGCAGGTCACGGGTTCGTATCCCGGCTGCGGCGGCTGTATTTTCGATGGAGGCGGAAAGGCTGTAGGCCCGTGTGCTCAGATTCGTATGCACGTTAAAGAACCCAAGGTGGTCGAAATTTCCGGAGCCCTCCACTACGGCGTCTCTCGTAACCATATGGTGGTTTTGGGACGTTAAACTCCACATATCAATCAATCCACCCATAAACCGCCGCCAGGCGTCTACAGCGGACATAAAAACTGAAACCTCTGTAAACAACAGAAAGGTTATCAAAAGAAGAAACAAAATGAAAAGCCGCAACGGCGGAAAAGCACCGACATTCAAACCCCCATCTCTCAAAGCATACGACATGACAAAATGCTAACAATAACAAAACAAAAGGTCACGATTCATTAGCCGATCATCAACATTCACTTCGTGAATATGCGTGCTTTCTTTTTTTTAATGGCAAGCATTTGTCACCGAGTAGGCAGCTTCCTACAGTCAGCTATAAATTGCTTGAAGTGATATAGATGCTATTGTTATGCTCTCCATATACATAATATGTTATATTTAGCTTCCAAAGTATCCTAATGTCAGTAGATTATTTTATATGTACATTTATTGGCTTTCCTGATAATCTAGTAAAGGTGTGCGGAATCTAACGTCTGACTTCTTGTTTGTGAGAGCACGGCGTTAGCCACAGCCACGAAGAAGCACTTCCTTCAACGTTGAAACGGCAAGCTATTTATATCGATTACTTTGTGCTGACGGTGCCTATCTCGGGGAAAATAGTGTGCTTTCAGCATTTCCAGTGAGATGGCGCGATTAGCGCGCTCGGCGTAAAGCTCGGCGCCCAGCTCGTTGCGATGCACCGATGCGAGCTCATCTCACAAGCGTTGTTTGCTCCGTGTGTGTGTGTGTGGGGGGGGGGGGGGGTATTCGCGCACTTCTCTTGTGGTGGGATAAAATTGTGCGCCTTCGGCTTTCACCGGAACGACAGCGCTTAGTTGCCGGGCGCACAAAGACCACTTCGCTCGCTGGACAGGCCCAGTTTGTGAGAAGAGCACGCTTTTCAAACACAGCAAAGTAACGATTTGGCCACTTGTTAGTTCGCACTTATATCTGCACCTGTGATTACGTCTCGTGCGTCGTTTTGTGTAAATAGCGCGTTAAGTGTAGAGCTGTAAGCGTTAGCTCTCGTCCTGTGTGTGTTGTTTTCGTGCGCCATTTGTGCGTGGGCAGCGCGCTGTACGTTTCGATCTGCCTGCTGTTCTCAGCGTTACATTCCAAGTTGTTGCTATCGCACTAATTTCTTCGCCCTTGCGGCGAAACAGTGACTTTTTATGCTAATAAATTCAATTCAGTTCGAATCAATTGCATTTGCCCCGCCGCGGTGGTCTAGTGGCTAAGGTACTCGGCTGCTGACCCGCAGGTCGCGGGTTCGTATCCCGGCTGCGGCGGCTGCATTTCCGATGGAGGCGGAAATGTTGTAGGCCCGTGTTCTCAGATTTGGGTACACGTTAAAGAACCCCAGGTGGTCGAAATTTCCGGAGCCCTCCACTACGGCGTCTCTCACAATCACATGGTGGTTTTGGGACGTTAAACCCCACATATAAATCAATCGAATCAATTGCATTTAAATTAGAGCACACTCACACTGTTGTCGTTGTAATCAATGTCACCTTATTAACTATCTCCCCTGCCCGTGCCCCACACTCATCTCGCAGGAGCGCAGTCTCGATGTTATCGTTATCGCTGGTACTGAATGTCGTTTCATAAACTCCCTCCCCCACTCTGTCCTGACATTCTACCTATTAACCTTATCGTCACTCCCCCCTCACGCAGGGACGATGCCCAGAGACAAGAGGCCATACCCTCCCACTGCCGCCAAGCGCCAAAAAACCCTCCTGGCGTCCGGCAGCGTCGGGACCCCCCGAACCCGACCCGGAGGAGGCACCTTCCTCTCCCACACCCTGAAGCGCATGTCTCCCCAGCCCGTGCATTCCGTGCCTGGCGACATCCCGACGAACTGTCTAAATTCGCCGGCGCGGTTGGCTGTGTGCAGCGCAGCGTTATTGTTTACACTGGCCACTTGAGGTCGGGCTTTCTGGACCAAGCTTCACCGGTGTTGTTTATTTGTTACGAGAAAGCCGTGGTCTTCTAGTCCCTTTTTTATTTTTATGTGTGTCTTTTTCCTCGTCGCATTTCTTCGCCAATCGTTTATATACCTGCCCCGTGGAGTTTTCTTCTTTCTTTCTAAGTTGTAGGCTGGTTCGAACGCTGTACCAGGGGTGTCCGATATTAGGACTGGCGTTCTTTAAAACTTCTCTGTGACTGCGATCACATTCGCGCGTCCTTGCGAAAGCAAAACAAAAAGCTGTGTTAATTATTTCAACCTCGTGAAATCGTGACGCGAGGTTCGGAGATTGGAGCGTTTTATGTTGTGTTTCTTGACTCCCTAAACTAACTTTGCTGAACGCAACCTTTAATGTTAAGCGGAATCTCCGACAGCCCGCTAAATGCGATCCGTCTCTCATTGCAATTGTGTTGCTTGTGGCCGACTGTTGATTTATTCACGCGTTCATAAATATGCACTGTTTGTTGGTAAGCATGCACACTACCTAGATATGTTTCTGCAGTCGTATATGTTAAGGGGGACGTTCGTAACGTTATTGACCGCCTGTCTACGGGAGGCGATGCAGATATTGCAGATTTGTAATGCCACGGGAACACTTATTAAGCGGGCCCATAAAGACTATTGCGTTTGGTGCCGCAATGTTGGGCTCTTAAAGTCGTCGTTTTGCAAGTGTAACAGCTAAATGAGCGCTACTGTGGTAGATCCCATACACACGAAAACGGATGTACGGAGTCACTTCGCATTTTAAGAACTTGTTATTTGGCGTCACCACGTACAACTGAGAAATAATTCGTGTGAAAGCCCAAGATGGCAGTGCCCATTAATCAAAAAAGAAATTCACTTAGCAGGCGCAAGCAACATGAGCGTCAGCGCATAAGAACGTTAACTGTGGTACAAAATGAACGATCTGTAATTGAAACATTCAGTATATATGCCTATCGTTCTTGCTTGGATAGATTTTCCAACTGCGAAGGCTTATAAATATCGCAAACTTGTGGATGAACTGCAAAAGTTTGTTACAACACCGTCTGAATCCCGATTTCGCAAGCGCTACCTGTTTGGAATTTTATTCACTCGTCCATTCGAAGTCGTCTCGACAGTGTTCCCGACTAAGCATCGTGTACCAATTGCGACGTCACAGGGACCCAGTATATGGTTGTAACGCGCTTCCTCTTCTACGCATGAAGCTTCTTTCTAGAAAAATTGGGCGAAAAGCTAGAAGTGGGTCGATAGCTATCCCAGGAAGCTATTCTTTTAAAAAGGTTCCCTTACAGCGAACCGTATCCTCATTGCACGTCAGACTGCACAAGACAGTAATACACTTGATTCCTTATTGTTCACGATTGTTCAAAATCACAACTTAGGCGCTCTGTTCCAGATTAGGCTCTCGCTTTATATTATATAAGTCGACAGTTCAGGCAAGGAGTGGATAATGTAGAAATAGCTTGGAATATATAAAACATACACATATACAGTGCCAACGCGGATCGTTATACAAAAACAGTGACGCGTAATGACGTCACCAATGGACGCCTCAACACATGACCGCGACCAGGACGATCTTTGATGTTGTTTATATATATTCAATATAAGCCTGGACAAGTGCTGACAATCTACCGTGCTAAAAAAAGATAAAGCAAAAGGGCCAATGCTAGTCATTTTATCCAGCTGTTGAGATATTTTGTTAAGCTATACATCAGCCCCGAAGAGCGTCAAGTTTTGTATATGAATCTACTATATACAATGTTACAGCCGTGGTCGAGGCATAAAGTGCTGTGAGATCAAAACGAAATGCGTTTTGTAGTTAGGATCGAAGTTATCACTGTGTGTTCACAGATTGAATGGCGAGTCGTAAGGCTAAGATAATTAGTACCGCCACACATATACGGCAGTTTCGTTTGAGTTGAAAACTATATTGGTGGGCAGAGAACCCCCTTTAAGAGAAAATACCGGCAGGCCTTGAGCCATCGCGATAGTAAATGTAAAAGAGCTTTCTTGCCAAAGAACACTATTCTTAATGAGTAAATCTATCCGCTTCTTATGTTCTTGTGAATCGTCTTACAGCTGTGTTCCATTCCTGTTTACCGCACTCGCCTAAAATAAACAAAGACCTTGCGTTGAAAGTCTCGGTGGGGCATATTGCTGCTTATGTGAGTATACCAGTGAAGTCATCGGCAGCTGCCGTATTTCGATGGAGGCAGAATGCTGGAGGCCGGTGTAATTAGATTAATGCGCACGTCAAAGAATTACGGGGGGCCGAAATTTCGAGAGTCCTCCGTTACGGCGTTTGGGACTTAGAAAAATTATTATTAAGTCAGCCCACTGCACCATTCGCAACCGTGAAAGCGCGAATTCTTTCGTTTACACTTCGGTGAATCGGAATAGCGATGTGCACACGCTTACGAGCAGCGTGACGATTTATGTGTCGGATCAAGAACAAGGCCTCCGGGGAAGAACTCCGCGCACTTGACAGCACTATGCCCCACTGTGCCCAAAGTCCGCACGTGGATACAGGGTCGTACCGACGACGTCGCCGTTTCTATACATACAACTTCTCCCTGCAATCCTCACTGCACTTGCATTCACAGCTCTACATCTTTCCCAGTGTCAGAAAAAGGAAAACCCGTGCCTCAAATCGTTCCGACAGTGTGACGCCTGTAAGTGCAGCCAGTGGTGTGACGTCACGCGTTTCTAACTCGCGGTCTCCTCTGTCTGTCCGCGTGAATTGAAACAAAAAACGAGGTGCGCAGATTGTCGTCGTCGTTGGTGTGTTTGTGTGTGCACGTGACCGAAGTCGACGGGAAATCGCGTGACGTTCGTGCGCGTGCTTGTCGCTGAACCAATCACAGCTCTCTTTGGCGTCGCGGACGCTAAGCAACTCGAAGCGTTCGCTATTCGAGGCCAAAGTTGTTGTAACCGAGTGACGTGCCCGAAGAGGCTGTAAGCGACACGTCGAAGAATACTTTCTGTTATATCTTGTTGAGTGTGAAATAAAACTGAATTGCAAAAAAAAAACGAAGGCATTGTGGCTGTCTGAAGCATTGGGGTGCTCCACAACTCTTTCTAAATTGCAACAGCTGGAAGGGGCGTTGTCACTGGAAGGGGCGTTGTCAGGTTACTGGAAGGGGCGTTGTCAGGTTACACATACTGGAAGGGGCGTTGTCAGGTTACACACTAAAGGCAGCTGACGATACGGCCACGCCCAAGATGAGTAGCAACACGTTGCCCTTATTCAAAGTATAGCGCCAACGTTGCAAGGCGGTGCTGTTGCAGCGAAAAAAAAAATTGGAGAAGTTAACTGTTCCGGTTACTGATATTCTATAAACCAATCTAACGTTTGCCGATGTCACCATTTAGTCTTGCAGCCGCTTCAGTCTGGCCGCTGTGTCATAGAGTAACATAGTGATTCTATGGCTGTGTTGCAACTCATTTTTGTGTGATTGTACGTATATGAAATAGCAGCACCGAACGAGCGTTCCTTTTTTTTTTTTGTCCACTGAACATCGCCGCGATGGCCTTGTATATTTACGCAGCTCAATCGCTAACATAAATGACGCGGGTTTGACAACGGCTGTGTGGGTCGCACTATACGATGGAGGCGAAATTCTAGAGGCCCAAAGAGCCCTCCGCTACGCGCCCCCAATATCCTGAGTCGCTTTGATACGTTGAACTCCATAACTACAAAGTCCATACGCAACAAACATGCCAAGCACAATTTGTAACGTACCTGACACATAGCTTACTCGTAGCTTACTCCTAATAAGATGGTCCGCTAGAGGGCCGAAAGGATTGGACGTGCGTTGCGTCGGCTCCGTGAAATGACCATTTTTTTCACGCGGGAAAGACAACGGCCGGCTGATAAAGTGCTCTGCGTGCTTGCGGACGTGCTACAGGATCCTGTGGCTACCATTCTCAAGACTATAGGTGTATTTTAAAGGATTTTATTGCGCCTTTGGTGATCGGCCACGTCGTGCGTCTCGCCAACTCCGCCGTTCGGCCCAGCGTCGAGGCGGCCGGAGCGGCGTCCGAGGGCTCCACCTAGGCGTCGGCTCGTAGAGCATCTGCGGAGGCACTATAACGATGGAAGTGACTGTTAACGGTACAGATACCGATCTAGCAGAATTGGAAAGCTCGGGCTGGGTGATCAAGGTGTCGAAACGTGTGGCGGAACTCCAAAAGAATCAACAGTGAGAACGTGATGGCACCGCTATGGCGGCATCTACCGGTGGTGGATGCGGAAAAGAAGGCAGGACGGTGCCGGCCGGCTACAATGGCGACAATTATGGTATAAGCGGGAGACCCTCACATAAAGCGGCGGGAAAAAAAGGTCGTGGAGAGGTCAGTAGCGTCGCACCTACCGCGTCTTCCGAACGCGGATCACAAGGTTATTATCAGGCCCAAAGAAGGATTGACGTTCACCAAACTCTGGGCACCCATGATTGGCGGAGAAGTCATCATGATAGCAGGCATTTCATGACAGAAAGATCGGGAGGATGACAGGATCATTGTCAATGACAAGCAAGGAACATTGATATACAGCACGTCCAGGGAGGATGATGACAAGATATTGTTGGACCTAAATGTCATAAAGCTTGACGGCAAAGAGTACGAGGTGAAGACATATATGGCTGCGCCCGAAAGCTGTGGCAAAGTAGTTGATTGACTGATATGTGGGGTTTAAAGTCCCAAGGCCACCATATGATTATGAGAGACGCCGTAGTGGAGGGCTCTGGAAATTTCGACCGTGCACCTGGGGTCCTTTAACGTGCACCGAAATCTGAGCTCATGGGCCTACAACATTTCCGCCTCCATCGGAAATGACGCCGCCGCAGCCGGGACTCGATCCCGCGACCTGCGGGTCAGCAGCCGAGTACCTTAGCCACTAGACCACCATGGCAGGGTTGTGGCAAAGTAGTGGTACGTGGACTTGATATCAGACTCGCTGAGAGGGAATTAGAACTGGCTTTCTCACGCGAAGAGAATCGTCCTATTCTTGGTGTGCGAAGGATGGGCAACTCCACATCGGTAATCATCACCTTTGTTGACGACTACGTGCCGAGTTGAATGATCTGTTTTGGGACGCCGATGAAATGTTTTCCCTACAAGAAGAGATATGAAGTGTTTTACGGGTGCGGTGAGCTGGGACATCGATCCGACGTGTGTAACAGCCCGCACTCAAAATGCAGAGGTTGTGGGGTGGCCTCCCCATCCAAGGACCATGGATGTACGCCGAGGTGCCGCCTGTGTGGCAAGGAACACGTAACCGGAGACAAAAGATGCAAAGAACTTTTCCGGACACCTTATATAGGGAAGAAGCGACAGTGGGAAATGAAGGTTGAAGAAGCGCGGGAGCAAGAAGAACGACGCAAGGCCGAAGCGGACACCCAGCGGCACAGCAGGACAGACGGGGTTCAAGATCGTTCGCGGCGTTAATCTAAGAATCGCAGTGGATCGAGAGGGCGCTCGGAATCCTTTCGCCGATTGCCACCGCTGGAGAAGCGGGGAGTTTCTCACAAGGCACCACATGATGCGTGGTGATTGCGCCCCAGAGAAGTCAAAATCCACTGGACCACAGGTGGGTGGGGTAACTAAGGTCTCCCAGGATGCTAATACAGAGATGATTAATGCTCTTAAAGAGCAAAACGGGATATTACAGGAGCAAAATGCGAAATTACGCAAACAGCTCCGTGAGATTAAGGCACAACTATCCAGTATTCCAGGGCAGGCGCTGGAAACACCTCGGGTAGCAAACCAACGGCCTTTTAAAAAGAAGAAGGCTAAATAAACCGAACTTGAATAAAATCACGGAGCGAGAATCGAAGAGCTTGAGGTGGAAACAAAGTCATTGCAAAATATGCTTCAAGCTGTACTGGAACAGATGAAACAAATAGGCAACGCTATTGAGCAGATCAAGGCTGAATTTGCTAGCAGGAACTGACAGATGAAATGGCTATACCAAGCGCTCAAGCTCAAACATGATGGCTCTGCGCCCCTGCAATAACACGATTTGGCAGTAGAACTGTAGGGTTTTATCGCGCAAACATGCGGTTTTACTATCTTTTCTTACCAACGCCGATCGACCGGAGGTTATTGCGATACAGGAGTGTGGAAAAATGCTAAATTAGCGGGTTATAAATCTTTTTCCGGGTCGGGTAATGATACCCAAGTTATGACCTTTATAAAGAGAAACATTGCGACATTGCAGCATGAGACGGGGAATTCGCAGATTGACCATGCTTTGGTCAATCTTCGCAAAGACAAGTCTTTTTATCCTGAATGTCCATAGTTTCCCCAAGCAGCGCAAAATCAACTTTGGGGATCTCTTCACTAAAACAATGGTTATTTCAGCAAATGGTCTACGCTTGACTTTGGGTGACTTTAATGCGCATCATACGGCATGGGGTTATAAATTCACGCAGGTTAAGGGCAGAAATTTGTGGAACGAAATTCAACAACATGAGCTGATCCTTATTACGGACCCAATGCAGCCAACGAGGAAAGGAAATAGCGTATCTCAGGATACGACGCCGGGTCTTACCCTGCAGCAGCAGTGCCACCGCCGCCCCGTGGTGCAATACCGGGTAAGACCTAGGTAGTGATCATAGAATTTCAGAGATTATAGTTGACAATCGCCCACCGGTGATCAAAAAGAGAAAAGTTAAAACTACAGATTGAGTAGCCTTTAGCAATATCAGGTCGGAACAGGACCCGATAAATGATATTAACGATTGGAACAAAGGGGTGATCCAGTCGGTTCAGGACGCCACCGAAGAGATTGACGCTGATGATGAGGAAGTAGTTGATAGACATCACGTAAGCATGTGGAAGAAAAAGAAAGACTTAGAGCGAAAAATTAGTCAGAAAAAAGTAGATAGGAATCTCCGAAAGGAAGTTGCTGCACCGAACAGAGAGATCGAAAATTATGCATTGGAACTCGCCAAGCAAAGGTGGGGTAGTATCTTTGATCAGATGGATAGAGAGATTGGCAATGCTAGAACATGGCAGCCACTACGACATCTATTGGACCCAGAGAAAACCAAGTCGGAGACCCGACAGCAACTTCAAAAGCTTGTGTGTTATGAAGGTCAGACGATGAAATTATTGACGAAGGTTAGGGATCGCTACCTCAGCTGCGCTGAATCTCAAAAGCTACCGTACTACGCCGGTTCAGAAAACCCGGACCTAGACAGCCCCATCACGGTTGGAGAAGCCAGGGCTAAAATTAACTGACTTAAAACAAAAAAGGCTGCCGGTTCAGACAAAATCCACAACATAATGCTCAGGAATCTTGACGACAGCTCCGTTCGTCAACTTGCAGCTTATATGCAAGAATGCTGGGACAAGGGGGAGATACCGCAAGCTTGGAAAACGGCCAATGTGGTCTTCAATCCTAAGCCAGAGAAGAAGCTCAGTCTTGAACATTTCAGACCCATTTCCATCACATCGTGCGTAGGAAAATTTATGGAGCATGTCATCCAAACAAAACTAGGTTTATGGAAGATGAAAACATGTACCATGATAAGCTTCAGATCCCACCTATTGACGTGTGATATTATGCTACAGCTGAAGGAGGATTGATTGATTGATTGATTGATTGATTGATTGATTGATTGATTGATTGATTGATTGATTGATTGATTGATTGATTGATTGATGTGTGGTGTTTAACGTCCCAAAACCACAGCTGAAGGAGGAGATAATAGACAAAAAGACTGTTGACACCAAAGTAATTGTGGGTCTGGACGTCTCCAAGGTGTTTGACAATGTCAAACATGAAGAATTACTTAAGAACCTAAGTGCGCTAAACGTAGGCGTCAAGACATACAACTATATGTATACGTGAGGGACTTTCTCTCAAATCGCACAGCCACCATCAGCATCGCAGGGCAGTCGCTCGAAAACATTAAATTAGGGAATAAGAGGACACCACAAGGGTTAGTACTCTCTCCAACTCTCTTTAATATAGCGATGATTGGACTTCCTGGGCAGTTAGCAGGAATCGAAAACCTACATCA